TGCAGAAACCTCGATGTCTGCCTGCAACCTGGAGGACAATTGGAGACGCACAGGCTTCGAGTCTAGGCCCAGCACTTCCCGCATCAGTACTGTCCCTTACAAACAGAGATAATCAAGCTCTTGGGACGTAACTGGTAAACTTTTTCCCCACAGTAGAAAAGTTCCTAAGTAGAAGTTAGGAACTTTTGCAGAAAGAGCAAACTACAACCTAAAAATACACATTTTAGCCAGCTGTGGTGGCACACACCTGTAGTGCCAGCTGCTTGGGAGGCTGAGACGCAAGGATCACTTGAGGCCAGGAGTTTGTGGCCAGCCGTTTGCGGCCAGCCTGGGCAACACAGTGAGACCGTCATCTTTTAAAAAAAAATAAATACACATTTTTAGTTAAAGGCAAAATCATTCTGATCATGTTCCTAGCCTGTCAGCTTTTTATAAAACCTCTTGTTAATACCTGACTCACAGTATTTTCTCAGACAGCCAGGGTCTAGCTGGTCTCAGTATGATTTCACACTGGTTAATAAACCCCACCTGGACAGTGCCTGTGTCTTCCTCTGCAGGAGGGGAGGCAGGTGCTATGGAAACCCCATAGAATATTAAGTTCATTCAAATAAGTCCAGCATGATGAAAGTCTGCCAGAGGCCTGGCTGTGAGTGACAGCAGCAGTAGTTGTACTTATAGTGGCTATGAGAACTCATTAATTATACTGCTGTAATGTCTTGTGATTTAAAAGATGTTGGAATTTGTATAGTAATGTAGAAGCCTATATTCAAATGGGCAAAAAAGTAAAAACAGGCCATTAAAGACAGAGCTATGATTTGTATGTGTGTGTGTTCTTTCAATTTGTAGATTTCGATATTTATAGAGTATTCTTAAATTATGTATTAAAAACTTTATGGGCCAGGAGTGGTGGCTCACATCTGTAATCCCAGCACTTTGGGAGGCTGAGGTGGGTAGATCACCTGAGGTCAGGAGATTGAGACCAGCCTGGCTAACATGGTGAAACCCTGTCTCTACTAAAAATACAGAAATAGCTGGCATGGTGATGCACACGCCTTTGTTCCCAGCTACTTGGGAGGCTGAGGCAGGAGAATCACTTGAATCTGGGATGCAGAGGTTGCAGTGAGCCAGAATTGCGCCCCTGCACTCCATCCTGGTCAAAAGAGTGAGACCCTGTCTCAAAACAAAACAAATAAAAAAAAACCCTTTTTTTTTTTTTTTTTTTTTTTTGAGACGGAGTCTCGCTCTGTGGCCCAGGCTGGAGTGCAGTGGCGCGATCTCGGCTCACTGCAAGCTCCGCCTCCTGGGTTTACGCCATTCTCCTGCCTCAGCCTCCTGAGTAGCTGGGACTACAGGCGCCCGCCACCGCGCCCGGCTAATTTTTTTTTTGTATTTTTAGTAGAGACGGGGTTTCACCGTGGTCTCGATCTCCTGACCTTGTGATCCGCCCGCCTCGGCCTCCCAAAGTGCTGGGATTACAGGCGTGAGCCACCGCGCCCGGCCAAAAAAACCCTTTTTATATATGTATATTTTTTATTTTTTGTAGTGACGGGGTCTTGCTGTGTTGCCCAGGCTGTCTTTCACTGCTGGGCTCAAGTGATCCTTCCACCTTGGCCTCCCAAAGGGTAGCGATTATAGACCACCACACCTGGCCAAAAATACTTAAAATGTTTTATTCAGCCTCTTTTCAGTGAGCCTGGTGATGCAGACATTAGGTGTCTTCGGTCTTCCAAGCCAGTCCCTCTCATGCTTCTCCCACTCTGGTTCACTTTTTTCTCAGCCAGGTTTTGTTTTCAGCTTTGCTTTTGTTTTGCATTCAGTGGTACCTTTAGTTCTGTGGTAGTTTTATTTACTTACTTATTTTACTTTCCCATGCTTGGTTGGATCCTTCTGTAACAGTCGTCATTTCTTGACTTCCTGAGTAAGTCTGTTTATGAATTTCATTTGCCCCTGGGTAAATGCTTTGTGCTCTTTGCCCATTGTAGTTTTTTGTTTTTTGTTTTTGAGACAGTCTTACTCTGTCACCCAGGCTGGAGGAGTGCAGTGGTGTGATTGCAGCTCACAGTAACCTCTGCCTCCTAGGCTCAAGCGATCCTTCCGCCCCAGCCCCCCGAGTAGCTGGGACTACAGGTGTGCACTACGATGCCTGGCTTTTTATTTTTTTATTTTTTATTTTTTTTGAGACTGAGTGTCGCTCTGTAGCCCAGGCTAGAGTGTGGTGGCACGATCTTGGCTCACTGCAACCTCCACCTCCTGGGTTCAAGCGATTCTCCTGCCTCAGCCTCCCGAGTAGCTAGGATTACATGCGCCAGCCACCACGTCCGGCTAATTTTTTGTATCATTATTATTATTATTATTTTTGAGACAGAGTCTCATTCTGTTGCCCAGGCTAAAGTGCAGTGGCACGTCTCAGCTCACTGCAACCTCCGCCACCCGGGTTCAAGTGATTCTCCTGCCTCAGCCTCCCGATTAGCTGGGATCACAGGTGCCTGCCCCCGGCTAATTTTTTGTATTTTTAGTAGAGATGGCATTTCCCCCATATTGGCCAGGCTGGTCTCGAACTCCTGACCTCGTGATCTGCTCACCTTGGCCTCCCAAAGCACTGGGATTACAGGCATGAGCCACTGTGCCTGGCCAATTTTTGTATTTTTAATATAGATGGGATTTCGGGATTTCACTATGTTGGACAGACTGATCTTAAACTCCTGACCTCAAGTGATTGCCTACCTCGGCCTCCCAAAGTGCTGGGATTACACGCGTGAGCCACTGCGCCCGGCCTTTTTTATTTTTTATTTTTTATTTTTGTAGAAATGGCCTTGAACTCCTTGACTCAAGAGATCCTCCCGCCTCAGCCTCCCAAAGTGCTGGAATTACAGGTGCGAGCCACCGTGCCTGGCCTCATCTATTACTTTCTTTGACAAGAGGTATATCAACATAAAATTCAGATACTATACAGTTCACCCCTTTAAAGCATACAGTTGGATATACTGGTTTCAGGATAGTCACAGAGTTGTGCTTCCATCACCACAATCAATTTTAAAACATTCTTCACCCCGAACAGAAACTCTTTAAGCCTTTTGTTATCACCCACCGAAACCTCTAATCCCCAACCCTTAGGCAATTACCAATCCCCTTTTGGTTTCTTTAGATATGCCTGTTTTGGACATTCATATAAACGGATTCATAGAATGTGTGGTCTGTTGTGACTGGCTTCTTCCGTTGAGCGTGGTGTTTTTGAGGTTCCTTCATGTTGTAGGACATGAAGGATTGACATTTGGGTTATTTCCACCTTTTGGCTATTATGTACAAGTGTTGGAGGGGACATAGGCCTTCATTTCTCTTGGGCGTGTATATACCTGGGAGTGGAATTGCTGGGCCAAATAGTAACTCTGTTTTTCACTTTTTGAGGAACTGCCAAACTCAAAAAGTGCTAGAGTTGGAGATGTGAACCACTGCGCCTGGCTCATTGCAGCCTTGACCTCCCAGGCTCAGGCAGTCTTCCCACCTCAGCCTCCCTTGTAGCTGGGACCACAGGCATGCACCACCACGCCTGGCTAACTTTTAAATTTTTTGTAGAGAGGGGGGTCTCCTATTGCTGCCCAGGTTGGTTTCAAACTCCTGGCCTCAAGCAGTCCCCCGCCTTGGTCTCCCAAAGTGTATGTGCCATAGTAATTGTTTTATTAATTTTATTTTTGGAATGTTCATTGCTAATGAACATTGGATAATTATATTAATCATGAATAATTAAAAACAGTAAAGATAACTGATTGTGTGTTAGTCTTATATTCTGCTACCTTGCTGAATTCATTTATTAGTTCCAAAAGCCTGAATGTGGCTTAAGATTTGTGACAATTTGTTGATCACTCCTTGTCTTTTATGACCTTACAAATTTGATGACTGCTGGTCAGGCATTTTATAGAAAATTCCTCAGTTTGGGTTTGTCCGCTATTTTCTCATGATTACACTGGGGTTATGGGTTTTGGGAAGAACACACAGAGGAAAGTGTCCTCATCACAGCACACTGGGGTGCTGGTCAGCGTGGTCAGCTGTCTCCACTGTCAAGTTGCTGCTGTTTCCTTTCTGTGCTCCTCAGCGGGATGTTGCTACATCCAGCCCACCCTCAAGGTGGCAGACAGGGAATTAAGCTCCTCCTGGAGTGAAGAATATCAGAAAGAGTTTGGCCCCTGGTTAAAACCACCACAGCAATTAGTAAATATTTCAGGGGAGATGTTGGCTGTGCAGATATCCTGTTAGTCCTTGGGAGTTGTGCCCACTGATCTTACCATTCAGCCCTGGCTGCTGCAGGCCCATGGATGGCCATGAGAAGTACTCGGTATAGAAAGTAGGGCGCCTAGAACCCCGCTCAGGGCCCAGGAGGCACTGCACGGGTGACCGTCCTTGCCACACCACCTCAGAGGCACAGAGCTGGCTCATGTGGCAACCCCAAGCCAGCCAGCCAGCAGGCATCGGCCAAGAGACTTCTGCTGGGGAACATGGAGGCATGCATTCAGCCGTCTCTGCTGGCGTTCATTGATGCTTCACGTGGGTGCTGGAAGTTGTGCTCAGGGCTTTACATTTAGTACTTGAAGACATGGCCTACATTACATCCGTGTTAGAGATGTGAAGTAACTTGCCCAAGGGCACATGTGTGGTAAGCTAAGTGCATGATGAGCTAAGTGCAGACCTGGGTCTGTCCAGTTCTGGGTGCCTTGGCCCCAACCACCAACCTGCCCTGCCTCCCCACGCATCATGGAAGTTAGTGTGCGTTCTTCCAGGTGCTTGAGGGTCAGGGAAGAGACGGCCGTGTTGAGGAGGGGTCTCCCGGGTGGGCTGCTATGGTGGGCTGCAGTCAGCAGGCTGCTTGACAGAGCAAGCCCAGTTTTTGTGCATGGGATTGACATGAATGAAATCCCGAGGGGGGGCTTCATGGGTCCTGTCATCTCTGTAACCTTCCTAAAGTGTAGAATGGAATGAGAAATCTGATTCTTTTTCTGCTTCCTCAGCGCATTTATTATCTTTCCCTGGAATTCTACATGGGCCGCACGCTGCAGAACACGATGGTGAACCTGGGCCTTCAGAATGCCTGCGATGAAGCCATCTATCAGGTACGGGGCCTCAAGGCTGGGCTTCTGGGTGGCCCCTCCTGGTGCTTTGAGGTCTGAATCCATTTTCCCACGGAGATGAGCCCTGATGTTAAGACTAGCAGCTGTCTGGGAATCGGGAGACTTACAGCCTGTTCTCCCGTCCTGGAAGGAATGGGTTGGTGGGGCTGCTCTCTGTTTTTGAGAGGAGAAAGTGAGAATTGAATGGATCACAAGCATGGGGTTGAATTGGGATGCGAAGGTGTGGAGGTTCTAGAGGCCATCTCACACCCTACCCCACCTCGGGTGGATTTAGAGCACCGTACCGGTGGTTGGTATTATTCCATTTTGACTTCATCAAACTGTTAACCCGCATCTGGTCTCTCTCCCTCCACCCGAGATGACCTCCGGAGCTTACGCTAGTTGTCTAGTTGTAAAAGCGCCATTTCTCTCCTAAAAACAAAAACTGCCTTTCCTTGGGAGTTCGTCATTAGCACTTGCTCACTTTGAACTTAATCCTTTCACGGTTCCTTTGTGGTTTTAGAGCGGAGCAGCCATTGGCTTCCTTGTCTGTCTTCGCTTCCCTTCCCAGCTGAGTCTCTAGAGTATAACCTTTTACCTGCGTATAGATGGGTGTCTTCATGGCGAGGCCACTCCACCTCAGCACCCTGCCATCGCCTTTGCTTTGCTTGGGTTTGATGTGGGTGGGAGGACTTGGGGGGTTTCATTGGGGGCAAATGTCTTGCCTGGCTGGGAGGTGGCTCAGCGTTGCCTGGGGCTCCGTCTCCCCCTGCAGGACGTCATGGCTGTGTCTGTGCACAACAAAATGCAACAAAAACTTCACTCCCCGTGTTTGAAATTAGCTAATGGCGCTGAAGGTTACCCTGGCAGGTGACATGCCATTTATGTCTGTTTACTGACTGTTAACATTAGGACATGTCTGTAAGAAGTACAGAACATGCAATATCTTAGTCTTGTCTTTGGATTTTACCATTATAGAATGCATTTTATTTTTTGAAACATTTTATGCAGTTCTTACATACAGTAAAAATTTTAGGGAATAGTTTGCATCATAACTATGCAATATGTTTATAATTTTTATTCTCAAAAAATGAATGTTAATTATAGAAATTTAGAAATTGCAGGCAAGCATGTATCCTTTTAAACTTTGTATACTTGATGGGAGGTTCCAAGATGGCCGAATAGAAACAGCTCCAGTCTACAGCTCCCAGCGGGAGCGACACAGAAGACTGGTGATTTCTGCATTTCCAATTGAGGTACCGGGTTAATCTCACTGGGACTTGTTGGACAGTGGGTGCAGGACAGTGGGTGCAGCCCACTGAGGGTGAGCCAAAGCAGGGCGAGGCATCGCCTCATCCGGGAAGTGCAAGGGGTCAGGGAATTCCCTTTTCTAGCCAAACAAAGCTGTGACAGACAGCACCTGGAAAATTGGGTCACTCCCACCCCAATACCGCGCTTTTCCAACGGTCTTAGCAAACGGCACACCAGGAGATTATATCCCGTGCCAGGCTGGAAGGGTCGCACGCCCACGGAGCCTCGCTCATTGCTAGCACAACAGTCAGAGATCCAATTGCAAGGAGGCAGTGAGGCTGGGGGAGGGGCGCCCACCATTGCTGAGACTTGAGTAGGTAAACAAAGCCATTGGGAAGCTCAAACTGGGTGGAGCCCACCACAGCTCAAGGAAGCCTGCCTGCCTCTGTAGACTCCACCTCTGGGGGCAGGGCATAGCTGAACAAAAGGCAGCAGAAACTTCTGCAGACTTAAATGTCCCTGTCTGACAGCTTTGAAGAGAGTAATGGTTCTCTCGGTACAGAGTTTGAGATCTGAGGACAGACAGACTGCCTCCTTAAGTGTGTCCCTAACCCCCGAGTAGCCTAACTGGGAGACACCTCCCAGTAGGGGCTGACTGACACCTCACACGGCCGGGTGCCCCTCTGAGACGAAACTTCCAGAGGAACGATCAGGCAGCAACATCTGCTGTTCTGCAATATTCGCTGTTCTGCAGCCTCGCTGGTGATACCCAGGCAAACAGGGTCTGGAGTGGACCTCCAGCAGACTCCAACAGACCTGCAGCTGAGGGTCCTGATTGTTAGAAGGAAAACTAACAAACAAAAAGGACATCCACACCAAAATCCCGTCTGTACGTCACCATCATCAAAGACCAAAGGTAGATAAAACCACAAAGATGGGGAGAAACCAGAGCAGAAAAGCTGAAAATTGTAAAAATCAGAGGGTCTCTTCTCCTCCAAAGGAACGCAGCTCCTCGCCAGCAACGGAACCAAACTGGACAGAGAATGACTTTGATGAGTTGAGAGAAGAAGGCTTCAGACGATCAGACTTCTCCGAGCTGAAGGAGGATGTTCGAACCCATCGCAAAGAAGCTAAAAACCTTGAAAAAAGATTAGATGAATGGCTAACTAGAATAAACAGTGTAGAGAAGTCCTTAAATGACTTGATGGAGCTGAAAACCATGGCACGAGAACTACATGATGCCTGCACAAGCTTCAGTAGCCAATTCAATCAACTGGAAGAAAGGGTATCAGTGATTGAAGATCAAATGAATGAAATGAAGCGAGAAGAGAAGTTTAGAGAAAAAAGAGTAAAAAGAAATGAACAAAGCCTCCAAGAAATATGGGACTATGTGAAAAGGCAAAATCTACCTTTGATTGGTGTAACTGAAAGTGATGGGGAGAATGGAACCAAGTTGGAAAACACTCTTCAGGATATTATCCAGGAGAACTTCCCCAACCTAGCAAGGCAGGCCAACACTCAGATTCAAGAAATATGGAGAACGCCACAAAGATACTCCTCAAGAAGAGCAACCCCAAGACACATAATTGTCAGATTCACCAAAATTGAAATGAAGGAAAAAATGTTAAGGGCAGCCAGAGAGAAAGGTCAAGTTACCCACAGAGGGAAGCCCATCAGACTAACAGCAGATCTCTCGGCAGAAACTCTACAAGCCAGAAGAGAGTGGGGACCAATATTCAACATTCTTAAAGAAAAGAATTTTCAACCTAGAATTTCATATCCAGCCAAACTAAGCTTCCTAAGTGAAGGAGAAATAAAATCCTTTACAGACAAGCAAATGCTGAGAGATTTTGTCACCACCAGATCTGCCTTATAAGAGCTCCTGGAGGAAGCACTAAACATGGAAAGGAACAACCAGTACCAGCCACTGCAAAAACATGCCAAATTTTAAAGACCACTGATGCTAGGAAGAAACTGTATCAAATAATGAGCAAAATAACCAGCTAACATCATAATGACAGGATCAAATTCACACATAACAATATTAACCTTAAATGTAAATGGGCTAAATGCCCCAGTTAAAAGGCATATACTGGCAAATTGGATAAAGAGTCAAGACTCATCAGTGTGCTGTATTCAGGAGACCCATCTCATGTGCAGAGACACACATAGGCTCAAAATAAAGGGATGGAGGAAGATCTACCAAGCAAATGGAAAATAAACAAACAAAAAAAGCAGGGGTTGCAATCCTATGCTCTGATAAAACAGACTTTCAACCAACAAAGATAAAAAGAGACAAGGCCATTACATAGTGGTAAAGGGATCAATCCAACAAGAAGAGCTAACTATCCTAAATATATATGCATCCAATGTAGGAGCACCGAGATTCATAAAGCAAGTCCTTAGAGACTTACAAAGAGACTTAGACTCCCACACAATAATAATGGGAGACTTTAACACCCCACTGCCAACATTAGACAGATGAGTGAGACAGAAAGTTAACAAGGATATCCAGGACTTGAACTCAGCTCTGCATCAAGTGGACCTAATAGACATCTACAGAACTCTCTACCCAAATCAACAGAATATACATTCTTCTCAGCACCACATCACACTTATTCCAACATTGACCACACAGTTGGAAGTAAAGCACTCCTCAGCAAATGTAAAAGAACAGAAATTATAACAAACTGTCTCTCAGACCACAGTGCAATCAAACTAGAACTCAGGATTAAGAAACTCACTCAAAACCACTCAACTACATGGAAACTGAACAACGTGGTCTTGAATGACTACTGGGTACATAACAAAATGAAGGCAGAAATAGATATGTTCTTTGAAACCAATGAGAACAAAGACACAACATACCAGAATCTCTGGGACACATTTAAAGCAGTGTGTAGAGGGAAATTTATAGCACTAACTGCCCACAAGAGAAAGCAGGAAAGAGCTAAAATTGACACCCTAACATCACAATTAAAAGAACTAGAGAAGCAAGAGCAAACACATTCAAAAGCTAGCAGAAAGCAAGAAATAACTAAGATCAGAGCAGAACTGAAGGAGATAGAGACACAAAAACCCTTCAAAAAATCAATGACTCCAGGAGCTGGTTTTTTGAAAAGATCAACAAAATTGATAGACTGCTGGCAAGACTAATAAAGAGAAAAAGAGAGAAGAATCAAATAGACACAATAAAAAACGATAAAGGGGATATCACCACTGATCCCACAGAAATGCAAACTACCATCAGAGAATACTATAAACACCTGTACGCAAATAAATAGAAAATTTAGAAGAAGTGGATAAATTCCTGGACACATACACCCTCCCAAGACTAAACCAGGAAGAAGTTGAATCCCTGAATAGACCAATAACAGACTCTGAAATTGAGGCAATAATTAATAGCCTACCAACCAAAAAAAGTCCAGGACCGGATGGATTCACAGCTGACTTCTACCAGAGGTACAAGGAGGAGCTGGTACTATTCCTTCTGAAACTACTCCAATCAATAGAAAAAGAGGGAATCCTCTCTAACTCATTTTATGAGTCCAGCATCATCCTGATCCAAAGCCTGGCAGATACACAACAAAAAAAGAGAATTTTAGATCATTATCCCTGATGAACATTGATGCAAAAATCCTCAATAAAATACTGGCAAACCGAATCCAGCAGCACATCAAAAAGCTTATCCACCAGGATCAAGTGGGCTTCATCCCTGGGATGCAAGGCTGGTTCAACATACGTAAATCAAT